GCGTCGGTATTTCTAAAGAGACAGTTGTACAAAAAGATTTTAAAAAAATGACACCGTACAAAAGTACAAACAACTTACTGAGGTTTCGGTCGKTAATCCYCTCTTTACTCCTACTTATTTTGCGGTGTTTAAAGTGATCTTTTTGTACAACTATTAATTATTAACAGTTTATTTTTAAATAGAAACTTTATCAATGTTTTTTAGATTTACATCACGATATCTCATTTTATTACAAGATTTAAGTTTTAAATTTAATTTTAAACTCCATTGTTAGTTCCAAGGTGTTTCTGGCCGGGTTAAAACGGGACGAATCCGCGCGTGCCATACTGCACCTAATTGCTATCTGTAACTTAGAGTATTGTGCTTAAAAAAGTTGATGGTGGTTTTTATATCGAAACCTCAAAATTTGATAATAGCTCTGTTTGTGTTTAAAACACACCTTTGTTTTAGAAGTTGATTGGCTACACTCATTTTTTAGTTAACACTGACCAATTGCCTCCCCATCATGTCAATCTGTCGCAATACGGAAAGAAAAAATGATTGAACAAACAATAAGGACTTGATCGTAATGGCTTATCAGTATTCCACTTGGATGATTCTTTAAAATATAGTGACGGAAAGTATTCATTCCGCGCCTCTTTTTTTCAGTAATGAATCGAATTTRAGAATGTGTTTTGAACAATGGATAAACAATTTTGTATGATRCTAAAATGTCTTATATCATTAGTTGCAAAAATTCTTTGAATTTCAATAGTCGATTTGCGAATTCGCWCCAGTTGTCAAACTATTATCTTTCCACGAATGACTGAGCTTTATGCACGGCGCCTCTTGATTCCTTTGTGTGTGACTACCGAAGCAAAATTCGCAAATCGGCTATTGTAGTGGAAACGATGTTAATTATTCAAACATATTCAAGGTCCGTTACCAGCCACCTCGTTWTTATTTGAGCAGGTGAAGTGACGTTAAATAGCATCTTTGGTCTTTCATCTGGTCATAGTAACCTACCGAACCAGCAAAGCAGGCGACGTCCCTTTTCARCGTTAAAAGGTGAATTTTTGGCAATAAGGCCCTTATCCATGTAAACGATCCCATACCATTTATAGTATTTTTTTTATTAATCAAACGTATTCTTCTATTTTATTATTGTTCTTTTAGARTGTTTTTCATCAACCCGTGAAATACACTTTAACGCCCTAGTCTTTATCACTTTCTTTTCCATTGCTTATTGTGGTGTTACACTTTACTAGGCTTTGACTATACACTTTGTTTCACGGGTTAACGACAACAACTTTTGGTTACTCKCTCAACCCGTGAAAAAAGAGTAATAGTCAAAGTGCAATGAAGGTTGATATCTCTAAAAGGCTCATACCTTACATCCCGCGTGTTTTTAACAATACATCAAACACGGAAATCCGTTTAATTACACTTATGGGCACTTATGATTAGTGCACTTGTTTTGACTGGTTTTTGAAAGTCACCAAACGGTTATCATGTTATGCCTACATTTATGTTTTTTTTCTTGTAGACCCTGTCATGAAGTCCTACTTGATCATTGTGTTTGGGTAAGTGTAGACAAGAAGGGAAAAAGACGGAAATACAACTTTTTTTATATATGGTAAATGAAAAACGATCACCAACGAAGGGGAATCGGTTGACCTAAGAATGCTAATAAGAAAACGACGGAAGAGGTTTGAAGAAATGAAAGGCAAAGCCAGGGGTAATTAGGAGAGAAGCGTGTGAAAGGAAAACTAAGAAAGAAATATCGAGCAAAAGGCTCAAGAAAGAAGCGTAGTAAGGAAAGAACTTTGAGGGACCTATAAGAAATAAGAAAGGCGATAGCAAATTTGAAGCTTAATTTTCATTTGTCTATATCTTCATTACTTGAACTTCACCTAAACATTTCAAAAATACACCAGAACTGACTGGGAAAGGCTTGATTTTGTACAATGATAATAAATGCTACTTGAATATGCATGTTTCTTTATACATTCGTCCCTAACAATCACCAATCGATCTCCGACAATCCTTGGAATGTACTCATTCTCACGAAATCTTATTGGTACAGCTTTCTTTATTAGAATTTTCGTTCTTAGGATACTTCTACCATGTACTTGTCTAGCTGACGAGTTGTTCACCTCACAGAACCAATCATTTGTTTCCGGTAAGTATGAMAGGGACACTCTGTAATATAGAATGCTGAAGCTTTTACGTCACCTACGTGATTTCCAATGTATTTTGATCAGTTCGTGAAGGATACAAAAGAAATCCGCCATGTTTTGTCCCAAACATATCCTGCAATTCATTGCGTATACGGTATATAATTTATTGTTCGGATAAAAACCTGTTACTTTTACGAATATAGTCGTAGAAAAATAGAACAGACAGTTTTACGATCAGTAAATTCAAAAGCGTTGGGTGTAAGTGATCTTGTTTTGTCTTAAAAAATACTTTTAATAACGTGCTATTTCTCGGTGACAACGTTTTTACAACTATGCGTATATCTATAGCAGATCTGGGTTTTTAATACTGGGGATCTCTGGGGAAAATCTGTTAATTAACAAAAGAACCAACCCTGGTCGCATTGATCACCTTATACGTTATCGCTTTTGAAAAAAAATAATTAATTTGTTATCGGGCAACATAGTCACGTGTTCACTGTATCAACGTCCCGATATGATTCTTGAATAAATAAATACCTTCGCATGGAGCAAAAGTTAATAAGACTGTTGTTCTATTCTATCGTCGACCTCTCCCCGTGGTAGATCCCAAAGATGACATTTACTTTAAAATGTCTTGGAAATGTGAAAGTGATTCCTTGGTAGGCGTCACGCTCGTACAAAGTCTCATGCTTTCAAAAAGAGCGCGTTTGGCGGGAAATTTAAAGTATTTTTTTTTTTTTAATCGGAAACTTATCCAATTCAATTTTTTTTTTTTTTTTTTTTGCTGCAAGTTACTATTTTTAAAATCTGAAAGTTTTTCCAAGAATTTCTTTTGCACTTTAAGATTTTTTGGGGTTGGCTAGGGATGCCCCTAGGTGTTAGGGCTGACTTTTTCGGAATCAAAAACAAAAGTGATAGGAGCACCTACCTCATGTAAATAGCTCCTTACTCCGAGTATTACCATAGGCCGCCCAACTACTGCTTGAGAGGCTTAAAAGAACGAATGCGCATTCTTTTAAAATGTATATGTTATCGGCACGCTTTCTTAGCAAATGCTCTAATGTACTCGACCCCATTTTGGATAGGTACGTGCCGCCAGCCGTCTAAATCCCTGACCCTGTTTAATACGCTAGAAAGTGAAAATCCATACCCTCTTCAAGACAAATCGGAAAAATAAGGAATAGCAATCTGCGCCGCAACCATCAAAAGTGCAATTATACTGACATCCATCAAAGACAATAAGAAATTTTTGATAACACGTTAATCCTGGGACAGTGAAACGGTATTTTTATTATTTCTACGGTATTTCTTATGAAAATATTACCCTGTCTAAGACACACA